TTTCAACTCAGAAAGATTCACACAAACAACAATGTTGCTGATATGATGACAAAAGTTCTTCCCAGGGAAAAGTTTGAATATTGCAAGAAGTTGGCTGGGATGGACTCCAAGTAAGGAGTTAGGATTTATATCTCCTCGCATGGGGCTGGAGGGGGAGATTGTTGGCAGAAGCTTCTAGTTCCAGCCCATTTTCCACAACCTATTGCAAGAGGTTGTAAGCTACAGGAGCCATTGTGGAAATTTACAATGGTTATTTCAACCATTGTACATGAACCTCATTTAATGAGGTAGAAAATTTGCACCGGGCTAGTTGGGTTTTTTACCCTATAAATACCCATGCAATGGCAAGGCAAAATGCAAGCAAAAAAGAAGCAAAGAGTGCAGCACCAAAGTGAGCAAAAAAAGAGGGCTCCGAGGAAAAGAAAAAAAAGGGTGAGAGCTAGGCATTAAGCTTAGGTGTGAGTGTGCTCCATAGAGAGAGTACATTGAGTGATAAACATTATGAGTTTATCAAGATTGTGATCATATCCTGGGGGAGTGGGAAACACCAAGAGAGAGAAAAATACTTGAGTGTAGACTCTGTACAATTTTATCATATAGTGAAATACCTTTCGGAGTTTGTCCCGTGGTTTTTTCCCTCAATAGTTTTTTGGGGGTTTTTCCACATAAAATTTGGTGTTATTTTGCTTGTTTATTTTCCCGCTTAAATGGCTGGTTGAACCGCCCATTTTATTTATATTTCTTAAGTGGCAGGTTGAATCGCCCATTTTATTTTGCTTGGTCGGCTAAGCCGCCTTTTTCACTAACCGTTAATATTGGTTGGTTAAGCTGCCTGTTTCACCGTTCTTTGTTATTGTTCACGTGTTTTGATAACAGGAATTAATTTAATCCGTTGCGCCATTTTTCCAAAGCCTCAAAACTATTAGAGATGTGATTGTCAATTGAAGTAAACATTGCTAACTAAGCTCAACCAATTGGCCTCCTTATAGCCAAGGTTTTTAAAATCGGATCCGATCGGTCGGTTGAATCGGTCGGACCGATATATGGTGATGAAAATGATTCGATTTACATAAAAAAATCGTTTGATGTTAAAATCGGTCAAAATCGATCAAAACCAGTGAAACCGATGGAACCAAAAAAACCACTGGTTCAATTTCTCATGCAATCTTCTTTCAATTTTTTTCAATTTCACCCTCCTCATTCCTTTCTTATACCCATTTAACCTTTAATTTTAACAAAATTACAAAATTATCAGACACCAAATTAGAAAACCCCTGCTTGCAGCCTGCTTCTCTCATCAGATCTCCCTTGCTGTTTGGATCAATCGGTTCACTAGTTCAATCAGTTTAATCAATTGAACCGAGAACCAAACCTAAAAATGGTTCAATAACCAGTTCGGTTTTAAAAACCTTGCTTATAGCCATTAAAAAGCAATTTTTTCAGTTAAATGCTAATTATGGTACCTCAACTTTAGGCTTTTATATAATTTTCATACCTTAACTTTTTTATACATTTTTTTGTCCTTATCCATGAAAAATATACTATTTTAGTCTTTCTATCTCTAAACTTTTAAGTTAAAGGAAACAAATTATGCAAAATTCTAAAGT